TAATGGGAATGCTTTTTGGAGTGTGTGTGCAGTTTGCACTGCAAGGAATGATGACAATTGGTTTCATCTGGAGTAATTACAGCTTAGTGACCACTAGTTAGGCAATTACTCAGAGGAAATCCCCTTGAGGGAAGCAGATCTCAGCTCTGAGAAGAAAACATATCCCATATAAATTCCTTATGTATGGTAGAAAAACATTTCTTCTCCCAAAAGAAAGAAAAAGCAATGAAAACAGAGTAAGAGACTTATTTAGCCAAGACCCACAGATTTTCATGTTTCCTATGTGGAAAAAACAGTTCTGAATCTTGGTGTGTCAGTTTTGGTCACCAGGATGCCATGAACTTCTTGAACAGATGAAAGACAGAGGGAAGGTAGTTTTAACAAAGCACTCTGTCATCTGCATTACTAATGCACCTTGTCTCCAGAGAGTGCTCATGGAGAGCAAAGTGTTATGAATTTGTTAAGGTATGCATACAGTGAACACAATTTATGATACACGCTTTAATAAACATTGTGGAAATGTTGTATCTTGAAATAATCTTTGAATGGTTCTGACCGCGAGGAAGGCTGTTTTAAGTACAAAGAATGTGCTAATTCAAGAACATGCCTAACCTATGAATTCAGAACATTCCCAGAGAGGGGAAGGAGGTATTTTGCATTTGATACTTCAAAGTGCAATTCTAGAAAGAGAGTGGGGGGAGCATGTTAATTATTAGAGCCATTTTTGATAAAGTGCTTTCTATTATCAAAGCTCCCTTATTATTGGAATAAGAAGCCAAGAAAAGCATGGAAAGGGAAATCTTGAACAAAAGAGAGAAAGTTAGTGCCAGGTGGCGTTTCCAAGGCTCTTCCCTTAGATTAAAAGACCATTTTCTTTTCCATTCTTCTGTTACAGGTATAAGCTGAAGCCTTGAAGCTAGTCTATCAAACCTTTGTGGAATTACACTAAGGAATTAACTTGTCAGCAAAGCCTTGTTTGTATTGTAGAATTCAGTCTGAAAAATCTGTTCTTTTAACGAAAACTATCCACAAAACTTATAAAATAGAGATTTTTGTGTGTGTGTGTGTGTGTGTTTTGTTTTATTTTGATCTCCCAAGACTGCCTTGAAGTAAAATCACAGCTATGGCACAGCGTGATAACTTTCTCTGTTTCTTCTACTTGTAACCCTGATGAGGATCACTTTGCAAGAAGAAAAAAAACAGTATTTTGGAAAATGCCATTAATGGCTACATAAAAATGAAATACTTGACACAAAGAGACATTAGTGTATTTTGTTGCTAAATTTTAGTACCTACTGTGTGCGTAACAGAGCTATGGAAACACAGACTCTTCAGAGCGACTGTGGAAGTTTCTAGGCAGGTATCATAGCAGGGCTCACTGCAAACCTTCCTCCAGGCACAGCAGAGGACTGACATGAGGAGACTTCTGAATTACTGAGTCAAACTCGCCTTTGATGAAACTTCATTTCTCCCCAGATAGTTCTGATGTGTGATCTCCATCAAAATATCATTTTTACGTCTGTGGAGGCCTTTTCAAACTGCAGAATCCTCTATTTCTTTATACATTTTATATGAAGAGAATTCCAACCTTCACTGAAATGCAAAAAAAGAAAGCGTGAGATGTATTTTCAGTAGAGTTGAAGTCTGCCTTGAAGAATAACTGCTAGGATTAGCCTATGTATTCAAGCTCTCAGTAAATAAAGAGCATTTTATCACATATATTTATTACAACTAAATAATGTTTATGTAGAATAGTATCTAATGTCTGGTTCAGTACAGAGTGGGCAGTTTAAATCTGAGTTGAACTACCATAACATTTTTCATTGGCTGTGGTACATCCTCATAGTAATTTTGGCAGTGATGGCAATAGTAATTTCTTTACTAAATAACAATACACTTCCTAAGTAGAAAAAGCCTTGCAATTTCTTGAACAAATGGAAAAATAATTTTGCATGATCAGTAAAGATAGCCATAATTGATACAGAGCTTATTGCAATTTATGCAAAGAACCTCAGTTTCTTATGATAGATAGTTAGAAGTAATACAGCACGAAAGTGGAGTCCATAATAAATATAAGTGTAGCATAGTTTAAAAGAACAACTTTTTTGTTGCAAAAAATATATATGAGTGTGCAGAAAGGGATGAGATGATTGCTTCAGAACCAATAAAGTGCAGAATGCCAGGTCACTTCATTGAGATAGCAATGTGAATAATGTTTTTCAAGGTCCACTTGGTTGTTATTGGTAAGTGCAAAACCTTTTAAACCTTTAATCTTTTATTGTCTCTCTCTTTTTTAAGGCCACTGATACTCCAATACACAGAGATACTTAAATGTTCCAGTAGTTGTTCCTAACTGTATGGGTAGGTGGATACTCTATTAGTTTGTTGCCTACTTGCTTACTTTGAAGGCAACATGAAATTCCATCAGGAATATTGGAAGATATAGAAAAAAATTATCCATAAAGTAGTGCAAATTTTGACAAAAATTAATATTTGCAACAGACGATGCAAATACTAATTTATGGAGATAAAGCATTAATATAGTATGAAAATTAATATTATTCCATGTAATCTCCTAGTCTACATACTGTGTAATACAAAATGGGAATCTATATATGGTTCATGATATGGCCTTGAATGTGTACAATGAAAATGTAAATTCTTTTTCCACTTTTGCCAAATGCTTTTTTGAATTACAAGGCAGTTTTCATTTTGTCACCCTTCAGTGCATAGAAATATTTGAGGAATTTTTCTGCAAGGTGATTATCTCCAAAACCCTGCAAATGAAAATTTTGATTTTATATTAGAAACTATTTTTGTATTTTAGGCTACAATTACTTATTTGGCTAAGATAGGTATGATGAAAAGACATTTTGAATAACTGATACTTCATTCTCTCCTTTCACAATGATAAATTTTATGATGTCTTAAAATTAGAATAATGAAAACATGTAATGCTTTAGTTGATGAAATACATAAATTTTTTTTTTCTAAAAATAATTTTCAGAAAATACCAAGCATTTCTGAAAGACTGAAGCTTAATAAAAATCTGAATGCAAATTGCTTGTGTAGGAAACAACGTGTGATTGCTTCAGTGGCCTGTATGCAACCTATATTCTGGAGCAGACTAACATTCTGCCTTCTTGTCACAGTTCTTTCAGATCTGTGAAGTCTATTTTTTGCAATCCAACCTCAAATTCAGCACCAGAAACAATCTATTCTTTTGTTAACAAACGTGGATGTTTGAAAAAAAACCCAACAAATTGCTGTATATTGATTCTCTTAAGGCAACACTTAATTACAGGTTAGTTTCAGTTGCACACATAAGCATTTTAATGGATTGATTGAAAAATAAAAGGATTAAAAATTACAAAACCATTTTAAATTGAATTTTATGACAACAGAATTGTTTAGATGAGGGCATCAAATGTACACTTGAAGAAAACTTCATGACATGCTATGAAAAACAGTGTTGTCATAAACGTTCCTTGTTGTTCTTTATTTTTCAGGTAGTTGTCCTTGGGTCTAGGACTAACTTCATAAATCTCTAATCTAGCACCTAAATCTAAGATCTAGCACTCAGGATGACAGTGTAATATCCTTCGAAGAGCCAAAGCAGCAGTTAAGAAAGGTATCAAATGTTAAGTGCTACTCAGGATGACTTTGTGTTGTCTTTGTTTATAGACTCTTGCTTTCAACGTTATAATCCTTAATGAAACCTTTTTTCTGTCTAGAATAAACTTGTAGTGTTTTTGCATTTAAGCTCTTCTGATGTTAAAAGTGACTTATGGTCCAGCTGATAAACCTAAACACTTACTGTAGACAGTTGTGTGTTGTCTAACATAACTTTTAAATATTTTTTTAAAGACACTCGCACCAGCTCCCACATTCTCACTTTCAGTTCTCTGCCCTCTCCATGTTCTTGGTGTAACTGTGGGTAGTGACCTGTCCTGTAAGAGGGATCAGTGAAATGAAGGTGGTTAAAAAACAATCTGCAAAAAAGATTTCCAGGGGAAGGTGAACCTTGCCCTCCAGAGCTAGACCTGGAGGGCACTTGGCAAGGCTGAGGGCTGATTCAAGAGAGAAATTTCAGCAGACATAGACCAATGTCCCAGGAGCTCTAGTGACGGAGAAAACAGTCGGCATTCCCAGCAACCTAAACTTTGCCCAGGCTGTGCAAGAGTGCTATGCTACACCCTAGGGCTTTGACAGGTAAATGAGGATTGTTTGAAGCTGTATCTGTCTGACAGCTTTTACAGGGAAATCTAATAGGGTCATGTAGATGGTTTCAGGGAAAGCACATTTCCACCTATTTGCTAGTTCTGAAATCCTTATATGCCCAAAGTGAAGAACTGTGCCTTAGACAAGATAATTTTTAAACTACACCATCAGAGTGAGCATGTCACTCAGTGTGAGCACTGAAAATGCTCATCTAGATCTAACCATCTATTTAAACTTTTCTGAACGAAGGTCTGTGCACTAGGGTGGTTAACAGCAGTCCAGACGTCTCTTTGATAGTGGCTGGAATTATGAATACTTTTACATTATGCAATGTTAGTCTCTTTTAATTAGTACTTGTAGAGAGATGCAGTACTGCCATATTGTTCCAGGTAGCAGCACGCTGTGACAGCTCAGTGAAACTCTAATAAGCAGTCAGAGGACAGTTAACCAGGGAGCAATCTACCCTTTTTTTTTTGGTGATAAATATGTTTAATTGTATAAATAAAAGAGGCTAGAAATGATCTAACTTGTTTCTCTCCAAGAAGCAGTGTCCCATATAGCACTGCGTAAAGGCTGAACATGCATTTGGTGCACTGCAGAATGAATCCATAAGAAAGGAAACTCCTTGGTTACAGTATGCTCACATCCCAGGGAGAAAATACTGGGAGTGAACCACCTATTGAATCTACCAAGGAAGGGCACAGAAAGAACCATGGATGTGAAGCTAAAGAACAGAAATTCAAACTACAAACAAGACACGCATTGTTCTGGTAGGAGTGATTGAAGCAAACTATCAGGCGAAGTGCTGGATTCTCCATCTTTCAATGTCTTCCAGAGCAGACATTCTCTGAAGATGTGTCTTTTTTTGCCAAATACAAGTTACTCAAAGGACGGTTTTAAGAGCAGTAGCTGGTGAGCTGTAGATCCCCTCTGGGCTCAAACTCTCTTAATATGTCACAGATCTTACAGGCAAAACACAAAATATAACAGATGCCATGGCTTTCTTTTGCAGCTGAGAGAAGGAAGAGGATCAGTAAGGCACACAGTGAATACTGAAGACTGAGAGAAGTAAAGCTCCCAAGCAGGTATGTCTAAAACAAATAGGCTGTGGAATGTAAATAAACACCTCCTGGAACCACAGACTATAGTCCCAGGGTGCAAGGAGGATGTATGAGCTTCTCTACGATTTTTTAATACATAAGATCCCCTATTAGCTTAAGTTTACATTAATTCAGGTGCAATATGCATAAACTGGAGTAAACACACGAAGCTGCATCATGAAAACAGCTGGAGTACTATCTAATTACAAGGAAACATTTCCGTATGGGATGCTGGGGATTGGAGATGAAAATTAAAAACAAGGCTGTAAAATGTTGTGCTGGCATTTGTGCAGGCACATGTGGCAGGTGCCTATCTGCATATACCCATTTTCCTGGCCAATTACCTAATTTTTCAAAGCATAAGGCTCTGACAAGCATGCTACATGTGTAGCTGATGTGTAGGAAACAGCTTGGTGCTTACCATAGGGAACAAAACATGCTGTACCTCCAGGGCTCAACTAACGAACTAACCACACCCTGGAGACTTGGAATACCGCTTTCCAGCCATGTTGGAAAGCACGGACACAGCTCCCCTGTCTGGTGTGGGAAGCTATGTTGGCAGAGTTTCTGGCACGTGGTGTTTTTTATACCCTCCCAGACGGGCAGCAGGGGTGGCAGTAGCTGGTCGTCTCCTCAAAACGGGAAAATGTGAATGTCATGTGGCTGCACCTTTAAGCTTCTTTATGGAAATGTTGCTACAGGATAAATAGTAGGGTGTAGCCAGACTCAAATGACTGATTCACAAATCCCCAAAATCGATGCAAAGGTTTTCATCCAGCAATAATATTGGTTTCCATTTTTGCTCTTTTTTTGGGGGTATAGAACCTTTGTAATGAGTGATTTTGCTTGATACTGCTAAAATCATGTGGCCTTAATCCGCTATTTGCTAAACAGGAGTCAGTGTGATCATTATCTGCAAAAGTTCAAGTCTTTGTCATTTCCTTGGCACTACCATTACACTGATGCTATCAGTGGAAGAACACAAGCTACTCTGAGCTGTTACGGATTCGTCATCAGCATAGAGTCCTATTGATTCTACCTATCTTTTTTCCAAGGCTGAGCTACATGGACAGCCTAGAATATAATCATTTAGCACTGAGTTTAAATTGAAAGCACTATAGCTCGTTTTCGGTGCAGTTGGCCTCAAAGTAGAGTCAATAGCAGGAAATATTCACAAATATATCTGAGTCTTAAGATTCAGTGTGTTTGAGTGTTAAAAATGACTTTTTGCTCCACAGTGGATAGACATTTTCTGATAGGTTCTTTTCAAATGGGAGTTAGAGACATAGCGGTTTGTTGGTTTTTTTCTTCCGGTAGATACTAAACAAGCAAGGTTTTTTTTTTTTTTTAAGGTGTTTTATTCTGCTCTGTCCCTAGTTATTCCCTTTGAGCTATCTGTGCAAACAGGTCGCTGTACAAAGGGAAAATAAGATGAAAATGGTGTGAAATGTTCTTTTTAAAAGCAAACCCCGCCTCATTCTGTAAGATTTGAGTTGGGAACCTCTGCCTGGGCAGAGTGTTCAAAGCCTTGTACTGCCAATTTGGGCTTAGTTCAAAATATGGCCAAGTTTTGAGCAAATCTAGACTAAATTACAGATTCAAGTGCAAACCAAGTGAAACACTGTTTCTTATCCTCCCACCCCCCCAAAGCCAAAAATCAAGATCCTTAAGACACAGCCTTGGTTACCTGTATGCAGCCCAGAAGCAGTTGTTTAGATATTAGTTTGGTATTTTCCTGCAAATTCCAGCTCTTTTCCTTCACATTGTTATCAAAGGTCTGTTCAGTGATGAGTATGCCCCTCCTTTTTCGTTTCAGCTTTATTATATATGGGATGTGGCTCACTGGCACTGTATGCTCTATTGCTTCTTGAATTAGGTAAGTTCTGAGTGGATTGTTCTTTGAATGTTGCCTGCAGATTCATACAAGTACATCCTTCCCTGGGGATGCACATAATCTTCTCCTTTCCCATCAAGGGGAGTGTGATTACAAGGGAGTGTGGTGTGACAGATGTGGGTATTATAAACAGACTGTTAACGCTTTCTGAATGACTCAGGCATTAGTTTTCTCTCCTACCAAACACCAACAGAGTGTTCTGTGTATCTCTGTATTGTAAATTATCATCTTGGTATCAGTTCCCGTTCATTCCCATACTGTATTTTAAGCACCAATAACTGTACATTGCAATGTATATGATCCCTCCTTCCTTCCTTCCTTTGTCTGCTTGTTTGTTCCTGCCTCCCTTCCCCTGCTCTAGTTGTGACCAGGAGCTTTTATTTGTTTTCAAATGGAAATCAGTCTAGATTTGCATTTATCAAGTATGTCATCCAATCTTTTCATTTACTTTTCAAATGCCTTTTAATGCATTTCTGGGTTCTGCATTTTTTCTATTAAGAGAGAACTGTCTTGAACCTTTGCACCTTTTTATTGTGTGTTAATGTAACTGTTCTAATCACACAGCTCATGGCTCACTTCTCCTCAGAGTCCATTTTTTTATTATTACAAATCTGCAGCGAAATTGGAGAAGCACTCTGCCTTGCAGTACATTTTACACTTACATGAACATAACAGACTGAAGAGTTTTTTATTCCTAGAGGTCCCACTTCCTTGTAATTCATTTCATGTTAAATAAAATGAAGGGCTATCCATTTTACCTCTGACTTGGAAAACAAAAAGCAGAAGCAAGCTCAAACCTTAAAGCAAATGTCCATAGAAGTTTAAATGGCTTCTTTTTAATGGAAGAACAGTAAAAACAAACATGTTTTTGTAACCAAATGCAAATAAAGCTAGGGGAACCTAGTGCCCATGTATCCTTTAATGGTTTTCTATCATATCTAGTCCTGTTTTTTTCCTTTGTCCCTTCATACAGATTTGTGTCACTGCAGCAGAGAAATGATTTGTAAATATTCTTGCATATAAAAGCAAGTCTCTTATTGTTTCTGAATTTACTTTTTTTTTTTTTCTTACTCAGAAGTTCAAAGCCTGGTGTCTGGACAAGTACCTGAGTACTCTTGGTTGTTAAGCAAAGGGAATCCTCTGTCCTTTCTTGCTGCCAAAGTATGAGAAAGCAGTGTACTTGCCAGCGCCTGAACGCATGGTACTGATGCCTGAGCCCTCAATGAGATCTTTGAGGCTGAAACCCACCTTCACTGGTAACTGATGATCAGGCCAAGGGAAGGATAAAATTTGAGTCTCTTCCCTTCTCTCCTTTCAGCATCTCTTGTCTCCAGGTTTGGACTCCCAGTTCTCAGCCCCAGCACTTACCAGGTTTGACAGTCAAACTTTCGTGGGCTGTTTGCACTCTACATACCCCTGGCTGGAGGGTGTTGCCACTCTAACAGAGCTGATAGGTGGGCACGTGGCACCAGCACAACTGCCCGCTCCTTCACTTTAACTCAATCCCCCTCTCCCCAGCAGTTTAACCCAAGACACCGGGTTGGCACTGAAGCTGCTGAGCTGCAGGAGTGCGTGCCATGCTGCTGAGGAGGAGGGGTGTGGAAGAGGTGCAGGTGGAGATGCAAGGTGGACAGTCCTGGACTATAATGCCTTCACCTTCTGCAGCTCATGGGCCTGAGCCTGGCAGTCCTCCCATTCAGCACATAACTCGGCCTTGGGAACAGCAAGCAGAGCTCAGCCTATGACTTCTTAAACATTGCAGTGTGCAGCTTCTAGTCTCTGTATGAATCTGGACCTCAGAGACCTGAACCTGAGAGCATCAGCCAAACAATGGCTTCTCTCTTCCTTAAGCTGCAGAAGGGCTGCAGGTTTGCTTTGGAAGTGCTGCACAGACTGAATCTTAGTGGGACCTTCTCCAGCATTTTTTTGCAGGTATGTTTGTGTATGTTGGCAGGACAGGCAAAGGATCTGCCAAGTGAAGAAGTCCAATCGTCCCTCTAGCCCCATCCCAACCCTTCCAGGGTAATGGTCCTTACAGGGACCAAAAGCTTTTTCACAAGGGAAAATATGCCACTTCACACAGCTCCTGCCATCCCAACCCCAATGCAGTAGGATCCCTCAGGCCCCCCCGCATGAGTCCAGCCATGGAAATGTTTGTTAAGCCTCTTTTTCTGTTTACATGTTTTTATTGCATGAGTGTTCACAGGAAATGTAAACATTACAGACTGCATCCCAAACTAAGTCGCACTCCAGACTATCTCTCAGTATTGGTCTTAGTCTAATACCGTACAGTTCCCCATGTTCATGAATAACCTGTAACAGGCAAAAGGACTCCTCTTTCCCTGTGGGACAGGGTACATGGGGCGTGCCATTCCTTCATGGAACAGAAATAAAGGAATACAGCTCCTGGCTCCAGTCAGGTCCTCCAAGAACTGAGCATATGCCTTGTTCCTAGCAGCAGCTTCATGAGCGAGTTGGTGGGTAAGATCTGTTGCAGATGTATTGAAAAATTGTGAACAAGAGTCTTGACTGGAGAAGAAAGGCCTGCATTCACAAGGTAGATTAGTTGGGATAAATCACAAAAGTGACTCCAGCCTCCTTTAATGCAGCTGTTTACATTAGGTGCCACCCAACCAAGAAACAGGCAGGAAGGACAACCCAAAAAGAATGAGGTGAACAATTTTCTTTCTCAGTGGCTGCTGTTGCTGCGTAAGTGACTGTTTAACTCAGCAGTCTGTTAGAATGAAATTCATATCAGATCCCAGCATTTTTCCACATTTTGGGTTCATATTTACATTTGTTAAGGTTAATAGACCTGACAACTTCTTCATGCTCTCACCAGGGAGCAGTCACTGACAAACGGTGGGAGGGACTGAAACAATATTCTCCACAGAAAGTAAAATCTGTGCATCACAGGGCTGTCGCACGTTCCTCCCTAGTAACAGTCTTCAGTCCCTGTTGGTGCAAATCAGCCTAGTGTCTCTGACTTTACCCCAGCAATGCTGTTTGCACCACCTGCAGATCTGACTGCTTACTCTTGCTATTCATCTCTCCAGTGTTCTTCCAGTAACCCTGGTGGAGCCTCAGCATTTTTTAAATCCTCTTTGTTCTAGTTTTTCGTGGTGCTTTTCTTTTTCTTCTAAAGTGTTTCTCTTTCTGTTTCTTCTGTGCTTGTGCTACAGAAGCCCAACTTTAAGTACTGTATCTTGCCTTTTAGACCCCATCTGCAAAAAGCAATTTTTTGAGAGCATGGGTAGAAAAGAGAGGTCAAGCAAGAGGTGCCTTTTGGCCACTTGTAAGGTTGCATGCCTTTAAAAATGAAAATAATAGAGGAAGCCAGGAAATTAATTCAGGAGAGAACTGAATTGCTTTTTTAAGGGTCATACATAATCTAGGGAAGTATGAATCTGCATTCCTCCCACTGGTGTCGGGGCTGTCAGGGTATCTGAGGCAGGGATATTACTGAGTCTGAGACACTATTCTTTCAGCTTTCTTCCCCTTCCCAGACTCCACAGAGAACCACACAGGCAGACTTTAAAGATTCCAGCAGACAAGTAAGATCTAAGTTGTCTCTTTTGAGCTAAACTGTAGTAACCACCTGTATGCTTGCTCTTAATTTGAAATAAATGTGAACTAAAATGCAATACCTAAATGGAGAAATTTAAGGTAAAATATTTTATTTGCATTTAAATCAGTATAAACAGTATAGGCAGATCCTTTGCCTAAGCTGATGTGTATTTTGCCACTGGGAACCAAATCCAATATGTGAGTCCACATGGAGAGTACTCTCCCGCTTCTTCCAGGTTCAGGAGGTAGGAACCAAAAGCCAGTGACAGTGTTTAAAAGCCTCTGCTTTGCAGACTAGGTTTTCTAAAGATTCACCCCCAAAGCTTACCAGACATTTTATCAGATAGTTTCATTGCATTCCTTTGTGCCCTTGGCTTTTATGAAGTCTGGCTCAATCACTGCAGTGCTGACCCATGGAAAGATCTTCCACCACAATGCCTTAACTTTAGAGGTCTCCATAATAAATGTGTCCCAAAACTAGCTGGTAGTTAGAGTAGTGTGAAGAGGTCAAGCTTGTGCTGTTACTGACCTTGTGGTGAAAAGGGTAAGCCAGCCTTTGTTAGCACCTTGTATTAACCTCTGTGACAGATGATACTGCTCTTTCCATGGGAGTCCCAGCAACAAATGCTGCACGTGGCCAAGCACTAATCATAACTGTTTATTTGCAGACCAGCCATACTCTCACCATGCCTCTCTCTTTTCTCTGCCTCCAGCTCCCCATGTATCCTCTGGTATTCTGGAAGCCCAGAAGCAGAAATGTCACAGCTTGCCAGCAGTGTACCTTTGTAATCTTATGTCATATCTTGTTTGCCATGTGTTTGGTTTTTTTTTTCAATCAGGAAGTTCTATTGCACATCCTCTCTGTGAAGTTTTAATTTAGTTCTTTGTCAGACAAATCTCATATGGTGAGTAATGCAGGAAGAAAGATTGGGGAAAAGTCAGATAAGGTCTCAAAGATTTGGCCCTGACTGAAGATGCTAAATATAGATGCAAGTAGGAAAGGTAGGCTGGAGGGGGGAAAGCGCTGGCTTGCGTACAGCTTTTCTTCAGGGATAAATAAATGCAGAACATTTTTAGATACAGGCTGAATAGAGTATAATGCTGTATTTGTACTGAGTTTTTATCACAACTGAGAAGAGTGAAAAATTGCCTCATCTGTAAGGGCTTGGAATATAATGAGCAAGAATGAGCTTCTCTGTCAGTCTTAATAGCTTTCCCTCTGAACAGATAGCTGCAGTGGGGGAGATGTCACTTGTTCCAGCAGTTACAGAGTAGTGCTAGTCAACTACAAGTTTCTTTCTGCAACTCAGCTGGCTAGTTAGAAATACAGGCACCTTCAATGGTGTGCTGTGGAGCACCAGGTATGGACATATATAGCTATAGATGCGCATAAAGAGAGGCAACACATATGTATGC